TCGAGCAAGCACTCACTCGACTACTAAGCCTAGGGGATACTCTTATTTCGAGTTCGAGCAATCACTTACTCGACCATTAAGCCTACGGGCTACATTACTTCGAGTTCGAATCACTCACTCGACTAATAAGCCTACGGGCCACATCACTTCGAGTTCGAGCAAGCACTCACTCGACTACTATGCCTACGGGCTACTCTTATTTTGAGTTCGAGCAATAACTCACTCGACCATTAAGCCTATATGCTACATTACTTCGGGTTCAAATCACTCACTCGACCATTAAGCCTACAGACTACATTACTTCGAGTTCGAATCACTCACTCGACTACTAAGCATACATGCTACTCTTATTTCGAGTTCGAGAAATCACTCACCCCGACCATTAAGCCTACGAGCTACATTACTTCGAGTTCGAATCACTCACTCGACCATTAAGCCTACGAGCTACATTACTTCGAGTTCGAATCACTCACTCGACTACTAAGCCTACGCGCTACTCTTATTTCGAGTTTGATCCATCACTCACTCGGTTATGAAGGCTATAAGGTCTAAATTCGATCAAAATGCCTAAAGCGAAAAACCTTCATAAGGCATAAATGAAACAAAATCTTCGCAACGAAGAGAATAAAACAGAGGCAAATTGGGAAAAGAAAAGATCTTTATATATATACAAGAATGTTTACAACGTCCAAACATGACCCCCTACACAAAAAAAAAACAAAATGAAAACTAAGGGTAGGTCTCTTGGTTATATACGGGGGCAGTCTCTTCTCCATCGGGCTCTTCCCTGCTCTCGGACCCACTCTTGCTCCCGTCATCACCATCATCATCAGCATCACCATCATCGGAAGCCAAGGCTTTAGCATTGGCTTTAAGCTCTTTAGCCCTTTTTATCTTATTGGTGAGATCAAAACCTCGAGCATGGATCTCTTCGACGGTATCCCTCTAAGATCGGCATTTAACAAGTTCAGCAACCCAATGTGCTCGAGTGTTGGCGGTATCAAGTGCCTCTCTTGGTTTTACCTGAGCAACTTCAGCATCGGCCCGATAAACGGCCACGAATGCATCCGCATTGGCCTTTGCCTTTTCGTCGTCAGATTTGGCCTTGGCAACTTCGGAGGCCAACCGAGCCTCGAGCTCCTCTATTCTTCTTGCTTGAACCGAGCTTTTCTCCTTCATGCTTTGAAGTTGGTTTTTGGAAAATGATAATTGGGCTCGAGTAGTTTCTTTTTCTGCGGCAAGACGGTCCATACCATCTTTCCATCCCAAGGCCTCCACCCTTATCATATCGACCTCCTCACAAAGTTTCCCAATAACTTCAAGCTTTTGCTGCAGCTGTGAGATCGAAATATTGGCCATTGTTCCAGAATCGAGCCCATGGGTTTTTAAGATTACCATTACCTGTTCGGTCAGGTCGGTCTGATCTTGTTGAGCCTTGGCCAATTCAGCTCGGAGGTCCTTGATTTTTCCTTCCCTTTGTCCGAAGAGGAGTCTAAGGGCGTTCCTCTCCTCAGTGACCCGTCGAAAGTCAGCCTCATACCGACACAGCTCAGCTCGAGACCGAGAACACACTTTTTGATGAACCGCTACGGCTTACGAAGAAAGAAGAAAAGAAGTTAGAAAATAATAGCAAACATGAAAGTGGTATCAACGAAGGAAGTTAGAGCTTACCCGATTTAGATCTTGTTGCACTTCACATAAAAGGCCCGACACATCACTAGGGCCAGCAACTTCCTCGACACCGGTAAACAAATCACAGAAGGGGTCCTCCCCTTCATGAGATCAATTTATCTCGAGGGCCCCCAAAGCTTGGGCTTCCCGAATCGCCCCTTCGGAAAAAGCAGGGAGAGTGGGCGAGTCTCCGATTACTATTGCCCCAAGCGACTCGCTTGGGGCGTTCTCCTTAGTTCGGAGAGCTTCAGGACCGGTCCCTTCTGATATACCCACTGCTTGTTAACTTCGGTGGGAACCATCCTCGATCTTTAACGATTCGGGGACTCTGCCCAGACCTTCCTCCGATATCTACTCAGTCTGAGGCGGAGCTTTATAAATCACCATCGATTCAGCTGCCTTTGGGGCGCTGATGGTTTTCTTTATTCGGGCCACCAACACGGACCCGTCGTTTTCTTCTTCTTCTTCATCCTTTAGACGTAGAACTGATTCTATGGTTAAAAGGATGGTATTCTTCCTCGGCTTATGAGCCATCCTTGTCTTCGGTTTTGGATCTTCAGAAGCGGAGACCCTTTTTCGCTTATTATCCTTCACCGATTTTGGAACAGAGGCCGAAGCCTCTTCCTTGATGGACGGGGGCCTCAAAACCGCATCTTTGCCCACACCCACATACAAGAAAATTGATTTAAGTATATGGAAAGTATCTCGTTCGAACTACCAAATATACGAGAAAGAGGCTTACTATGATTTTTGGCCTCTGATCGGCCCTTCGACAAATCACGCCATGAGCTCTCGGCATACGTGGAGGTCGAAGCTAGATTCTGTACCCAGTTCTTGAGATTGAGAACTGAACCGGGAATCCAAGAAACCGCTGCATCACAAAAATGGGATGTCAATGAGAAAAGAAATGAATGGACAAAATAGTAGGAGATAACAGCAGAATTACACTTATGATTCATGTTCCACTCCTCGCGAAATGGCATCTTTTCAGTCGAAATCAGGTCTGAAGTCTTCACTCGAACGAACATGCCCATCCAACCTCGATCCCTGTCCTCGTCTATGCTCGAGAACATAACCTTGGTAGCCTGGCGCTGAAGTTTTATTAACCTGCCTCGAAAGAGGCGAGGGCAGTACAATCGAATGAGACGGTCGAGAGTGAAAGGCATCCCCTCGATTTTGTTCACGAAGTAACGGATCAAAAAAATGATCCGCCAAAAAGAATGATGGATCTGGCCTAGGGTTATTTGATATTGACGGTAGAAATCGATAATAACGGGGTCAAGGGGACCTAACGTGAAATGGTAAGTATACATACTTAAAAACTCTTTCACGAAAGTGGTGATATCTTCTTCAGGAGACGTGATTACTATTGCTTTGTTCTCCCAATTGCAATCTTTCTTTAGCTGTTTGAGGTGCCCCTCAGTTATCGATCACATATAACTCGATACTGGCTCACATCAGCCGGGAACCGATGAGCCTTTGTCGACCTTAAAATAGGAGGTAAGAACACACGCCCCAGGAACGCGCTCCTCAGGCCGTAGCTCCACCGGTGTTTTATTGGCGGCATGCTGTGAAAAAGAAGTTTTTTCTTTCTGAGGAATGATTTTTGATGTTTTCGCCATTTTTAGATTTAAAGATCGAAAATAGAAGGAGGTAACAAAGATTTGGTATTTTTGAAGAGAGACTTTGCAGTGAAAAATCACAGATTTGCAGATAAACTCATAAGATGCAAGAAAGAACTTTATCAAATTTGGAGATTGGAGATGCAAAAGTAGTAAATGGTAAAGAAAAGGGCTATTTATAGATTAAGCAATGTCGGTTCAGTATCAACAGTGGCCGACCATCGTCTGACACACATTAAATGCCTTGAAAAACTAAACCGACGGGACATCTATCACGTGCATCATGATCGAGCCCGATGCAAACGTCAGCGCATATCCAATCGAGCCGTTGGGAAATCATATCGTTTCTCGCCACATCCTTTCCGAGAAACGAGGGGACTATCTGTATACGGTCGAAACTGATTTCGGCCTTCGTACGACTGATCGAGATGGGATCATAATGGACCGAAGAAAGTCTTCATAAAATCGAGATGGATCCGAAGATGGCACAAACGAGCTTAAGATTTTAGGTACATGTCAAATACCGAGCTCGAAGTCATTATCGAGCTCGGGTCCAAATCGAACTATGATAAAATGTGATTAAATCGAGCTTAAGGGCCAGAGGCCAACCAATACCGAGCCCAAATCATTACCAGACCCCGAGTCAGCATCGATCTCATACCCGCATCGAACTCTAAAGCTGGAAACCAACCAATAACGACCAATACCGAGTCCGATCAGGATCGAGCTCATAGACAAGAGCCGTTGCAGCCGCACTGAGAGAGAGAATCTCGGCGGGAATTAGGGAAAAACTGAATCATCATGGGTTCACCACTATGTATTTTTAATTATATCTAAAGTAGGATCCCCCACTATAAAATTGATGGCTATATTTATGTAAGAGGACAAGTTTTTGCATATATTATAACTGAGGCATCATACACTCATATATTAAAGAGTTATCCTTTTTAGTTTCATAGATTGATTTATCTTGCCTAATCCATAAATCATTTTCTTTCCAACCTTGTTTATTTTTCATTCTCTATAGTCACCACTCGATATTCTTATTTATTCTTATGATTTGTGTCAAGTTATACCACATACCATTAGAATTACGTATAAATTTAACTCTATCCGTTTTTTCGGGTAAACATCTACTATGTTTGTCCTACTGGTATCATACGCAAGAACATCTTCATTATTGGTCGGTCATCCATGCAAGAATCCACCATTAAAGGTGACATTGAATTGAATTACTATTTCATCTAGAAACACTTAAACCGTTAGAAAGAATGCATTTTTGATAATTTAATTATATATGTCTAAGTACTTCGCTTACTAGTGAGCTTAATTCTTTTCCACAGGTCAAGTATCGTAAAAATCTGTGTTTGTTGTCCCTTGAGGACTTTTGCACTATAGTTTAAACTCTGGTTTCGAGTTGGCTGCATTTCTCGGCGCTAAGTAGCCAGAATCCTAGAGTTGTAAGCATATCAGATTCCATATTTGCACCAATTGATTTACACGTGAAAGCGATAATGAAGAAGTTGGCCTCTATCTCAATTATAATTCATTTATAATAGGTGTATAATTAGTATATAATTTATATATTATGGCTAAGAAAATAAATAGTGAAACCCAGTGGCTATTTATGTAAAGGTGCTATATTTTACAATACCTCATACAAAATATACGAGGTACTTAAAAATAACTGACCGACTCGTGTCCTTCAAATATTAATAGTATTAAAATAAAATAAAAATAAAAAAGAACCAAAGGCGCGAAAAAATTTGAGACTTTTCAAAACAGACGCGGGAAACAGGTAGTAGATATTCACGGTGATATGACACATGCCTGCATTTTCAACATCACAAGGACATTGTAAGTTTCCTTAACGCTTCATCTTTGCTTTGCTGAAATTTGTTTTTTCTTAAATATCCATTGATTGATTGATATTTTGTTTAGAATTGGTGAATCCTTTATCAAATAAAATGAACAAATGTTTAATTTCCTTCTCTCTCCTCCCCCCCCCCCCCCTTTTCCCCTTCTTTCTTATGTCCTTTCTTGTTATGTACCTTCCTCATGAAAAATTATTTGAATTAATGATTAGTTAATTATCGTAATCCGTTCACTTGATGCAAAATGTATACGCCCATATTATGCTTGATGAAATGCCAACAAGAGTATAATCCACAGGGCAATTATCTTTATTGTGTAGTGGATGATATGAGCAGGGGCGTATGTAGGGTAATTGAAACGGGTTCATATGAACCTAGTAGCTTTAGCTTAGATTATGTATATATGCTCAAATATTCACTAAAACATTACAAATAATATATTTTGAACCCACTAAATCGATTGTGCTATGATAGAATTTGTACTCGAACCCATAAAGTTCAAATCCTAGATCTGCCTATGGATATGAGTGCATGTTGGAATTTGATGACACAGCTTAAAGAAGAAGAGCTTGCAGAGTTTTCTCTATATGTCATGGAGATCTAGTTTATTAAAATGGTTTGTGCTTAACTTTCTTTGCGAAGGAATTTAAAAGTGGAGGAAACTTTGTTCTCCGGCAGAAGCTTTGTACCAAAGGTGATTTCTACTTTCCCGAGAAAATTTGGAACTTGGGCAGCTTGGTTTTCATTGAAGTGTAGCTTGGATTTGAGTTTACCTTTTAAGCCTTTGAGACTAATTCATATGGAGAACAAAGAGCACAGCAGTTCCAGAGGTGCCTTAATTGTTTTAGAAGGTCTGGACCGCTGTGGAAAGACATCTCAATCTGGCAGACTGTACAAATACTTGGATGAGCAGGGACATTCAGTTGAGTCGTGGAGATTTCCTGACAGAAATACAGGTGTGGGGCAAATGATTTCTTCTTATCTTGCTAATGAGTCGCAGTTGGATGACCATGCAATACATCTTCTCTTCAGTGCTAATCGTTGGGAGAAGAGGTTTGTTCTAATTCACATAGCCTGACTTGTGTTGCCGATGTGTAGTCTTATATTGTGATGCCCAATGTCTCCGATACACAACGATCACCTGTCTGCCAGAATTTAATACTTGGTCATATCATCTGTCAAAAATAGTTAGGCTTGTCATTTATCATTTGAATTATTCCTTCTTCTGAAGACCCTTTCTATTTTAGGTATATGTGGAGATGAAATTGTTAAGATGGTTGATTTTTGATCAACCAACTGGCTAGCCAGCAGGCATATATCCCCCATATTTGATATGCTGGCTAGTCATTGCTGAACTGATGGTTTGAATGCTGAGACTTCTTTTATGCTATTGGAAATACATGACTCAGTTACTCTGTCTGTATATTAGTTGGTATTTCTCATATTGTCTGCTAGTCAAAAAATAGAAACTGATTTTCAAGAAAACATGTTAGAATGCATTATCTTTTGCTAATAATTCCCAGTTTCTTCCTTGCTATTTTCAAACTGATAAAGAAGACCTTTCCTTGCTGACCTAGAAAATGAAAATAACATTGTATAATAGATGGAAAAGGAATTAAGTGGTGTAGACTTCCTGCTCTATCAGTTTGAAGAATTCATGACAAGTTGTCTATCTATGATTGTCATTTGCCAGGAAATGTGAGGATAATTTAGTTTGTCAATCTTACTATCAGAAAGCATGAAACTTATGTTGTGGTCTTCAATTAATAACAGTGCTTAATAATGAACTTAAAAGAGGAACTAGTTCGGATGTGCAAATATTTTTGCCTTTTTTCCTTGATTAGTTCAACATTGGTAATTCAGGTAACATGGTTGGAAGTTCTCACCAAAATGCATAAGCTAATGATATATGCCTTTTTTTTAAAAAAAAATTTCTGTTCCCTTTGTAGTTTTGTTTTCAAGCAAAGGTGTTGATGAAAACAAAGAAGTATAATGGCACAAATTGAATTCTGCTTTTGAAATCCTTAAATACCATTGTCATTTAACTGAGAAGTTTTACCTTGGTCTGGCTGCATACATTTTTCATTCCAGGTCAGGTAGTATATAAGAAAATTTACAGTGAGTTGGCTTCTAATCATTGTAGTTACATTCTTTATCCTGGTGCGCCCGGAAGGTTTTAATTTCTGTCAGCTAACTACAGATCATTAATGGAGGGCAAGCTGAGGAGTGGAACTACTCTCATTGTTGATCGCTATTCTTATTCTGGGGTGGCATTTTCATCTGCCAAGGGACTTGATATTGAATGGTGTAAGGTAAAATCATGTCTTTACTTCATTGATGTTGCAATTTCATCTCCGAGCAAGTCTAACACTGAGATTTTTCACTGCAGGCCCCAGAAATAGGATTGTTAGCTCCAGATCTGGTTGTATACCTCGACATATCACCTGAGGTAGTTTCGATTTATTTATTTTCCTTTTCACTTGTCTAAATTCAGAGATATCGTCAATGCAATTTCCTTATACTCTGTTATTGAGGATGATCTGCAATATTTTACGTTATATATTTTCAGGTTTCTTATTGAGACAGTTGACATGTTAACTATTCTTAATCAACTATATATTTTTTTTTAATGAGTATGAAAATGCTTTTTTTTGTTGCTAATATGACTGTATTTATGATTTGATTTTGTAATAACTAGAAAGCTGCTGATAGAGGAGGCTATGGAGGTGAAAGATACGAGCAGCTTGAGTTTCAGAAAAAGGTCGCCAGATCTTATTTGGCTCTTCGTGATTCCTCGTGGAAGGTGCATTTTAGTCATCCTTTTGTGTACGGAAATAGAAATGGTTGTTTACTTGAAGTATACAACTACTCTGATAACACAATAGGCGGTAACAGTACTTTTTGAGTAGATGTGATTTTTCCAATCAATTTTTTTAAAAAAAATCAAATATAGCATGTCTATGGTAACTAAACAGAAACATGTAAAACTCTTAGTAGTATCTGACATTTCTGTTTTCTTCTATGAATACATAAATTCACTGTATTCTTGAACAAAAAAACAGGTTGATCAGATTTTGATCCGAAGCATTAGAGATAGCTTTGCCTAGTTGATGTTGTTTCTTTGATTTATTGCAGGTTATAGATGCAACCCTTCCAGTTGAAGATATAGAGAAAAAGCTTAGAGAGGTTATTCTTGACTGTATGATGGCATGCCACAAAGGGAAACCATTGTCTCAGTTATGGCCATCATAGGTCAAGCGTACAGAATGTCAGTATGAATGAGATTTGTAACTTCTTTATTACATTGTATCTTGAGTTACATTTTGCTGTATTTAATCTTCTATAAGATGTCCTTGGAAGCGTGAAATTGCTCCATTTTTATAGGTCCTTGCTATCTGTTTGCTACGATCTGAAGGGGCAAGAATTTGGTTGCGTTGAAGAGTGGGAAAAAGGATTAGTTCTATCTACCATCTTTGGATTGTACTTGAGTGTCTGGAATACCTGGTTCTGTTTTTGAGTCTGCTCAATTTTCAGAATGATTATTTTGTTGAATCAAATTTGTATATTTTGATTGATCTAGGTAGGCTGAGGCAGAAGTTACTAATGTTGCTGGTACTTAGATGGTGCACTCCAGAAATGGCTATCCATCATCCGAAACAATGTGTAGTTTCACGAGCAAATTTTAATATGAATTATTTTTTATCTAATAGGGAGAATGTTTGTATTAACTATATGGAGCTTAAGTGCATAGAACTGATTATGACAAAACTTCTAAAGCACAACAATTTGTTGAAGCCACAAATGAAATACATAGAACTACAAATTATTTTAACAGAACTAAGAATCTTCTTTTCTTGTAAATTAGAGAAAGAAAAAAAGAAGAAGAGAACGTTGCTGTTCTTTTTTGGTTTGAGAAGAATACGCGGAAAGAAATTAAGGAAAATAAAATCAATATCTTCTTAGATCCACCAATTTAAGCTAATGAAACTGAAAACTAATTTTCTTTTATTTCTTATTTTCCACGTAAATTATAGAAAGGAAAGATACTGGAGTAGTTATTTTTCTCTGTTTTCTCTTCCATTTGCTCCTAATTTCCGTTGCTCGTCTTTTTTCTATTTCCAAACATAGGGAAGTTGAACGTGTCTGTGAACTAAACTCCAGTAATGGATGGTTTATAGCCTAATAGTGATCTCCATCTCGGTCAAAAAAGTAGGGTCTGGCAAAAACTCTTTAAGAGTAGGTCGCCTCTTAAACCAGCGATACCTTAAAACTAGATTCTGCTTTGCCGTCGATTTGTGTGTTTAAGTAATTTGTCAGTAGTCTTTTTGGTACTTAATTTACATGTATAAGCAAAATGTGCGGATTATTAAGTCAAATAATGATATAAGATGAGCACAGACGCAGTGGTGTGTGTTGTGCTTGGCCAGTTTGACCAAGAGTGAGCAGATCATTTGGATGCTGAGACCTTGTTGATATATTTAACCAGTGGCGAAACCGAAAAATTCAATAAGGGTGTTCAAATTTGTCAGTGCGCTATGCAAGGATATTCAAAGTATATTTTTAATCAATAACAAGTAATATTTTATCTTATTCGTAATATAATTTTTCGGGCGAATGGTGGTTAGACTACCCTTGGGCCAACATAGCTTCGAGGGATCAGCAGAATGCAATGGAGGCACCATTATTTTTGTATCAGTGCCGTTAAAGACTTTTAGTATTTAGAGTGCCAAGTTAATTATATATATTTACCCGAAAAACAGATATAGTTAAATTTGTACGTAGTTCTAAGGATATGTGGTATAGTTTAATACAAATCGTAAGGATAAATAGAAATATCAAATATGAATTACAAATAATGCAAAATAAACAAGGTTGGAAAGAAGATGATTTCTAAAACTAAGCAAGATGAATCAATTAATGAAGCTTAAAAGAACAACTCTCGAATATAGGAGAATATGATGCTTGAATTACAATGTAAGCAAAAACTGTCCTTTACACAAATGTAGCCATCTTCTTTATAGTGGAGGATCCTACTATTAGATATAATTAAAAATACATAGTGGGAGACCCATGATAAATCAGTTTTTCCATGATTCCTGCCAAGATTCTCTCATCTAGTGAGATTGCAATGACTCTTGTCTGTGAGCTCGATATTAACTCGAGCTCTCGATCTTGACTCGAGCTCGATTCTGACTCGGGTCCCTGTATAGATTCGGGGTTAGTGTTGGTCGGTCTCTGAATCATAAGCTCGATAACTTTACTTTGCATCATAGTTCGATTTGGATTCGAGCTTGATAATAACATCGAGCTCGACGTTGATCGGTCCTTCGGGCTCGAAGCTTGGTGACCCGACTTCGGACCTCGACCTGATACTATGAAGGCGCTTCTCCGATCCAATGTATTACTATTCAAACCAGTCCGTACGAAGGACTAACCGATTTTTACCGTATACAGATAGTCCCCTCGTTTCTCGAGAAGGATGTAGCGAGAAACAACATGATTTCTCAATGGCTCGATTAGATATAAGCTGATGTTTGCATTGAGCTCGACCATGACGTATATGATAGCTGTCCGTCGGTTTAGCTTCCCAAGGCATTTAATGCGTGTCAGAAGGTGTTCGGCCACCTCTGATATTGAACCGTCATTGTTTCAATCTATAAATAGCCATTCTTTTCACCAATTATCACTTTTACGTCTTCAATCTCCCAAATTTTCTAAGTTTTTTCTGAGTTCATTCGTAGATCTGTGATTCTTTCCTGCAAAATTCTTCTTAAAAATCACCAAATCTTTATCACCTTCTTCAAATCAAAAAATGGTAAAGACATCAAAAATAGTCCCCCCAAAAGAAAACGCTTCTTCCTCCCAATCCGCCGCCGACAAAGCACCAGCGGATCCACGGCCTGAGGAGTGCGTTCCGGCGGTGTGTGTTCTTACCTCCGATTTCAATCTCGATAAAGGTTCGACGGTTCCCGGCCGATGCGAGCTCGTATCGAGATATATTTGTTCGATGATGGGGGATGGGGGGTACATCAAGCAGATGAAAAAAGATTGTAACTGGGGGAACGAAGAAGTGGTAGTACCGTCTCCCGAAGAGGATATTACTACTCACGTGAAAAGGGGTTTTAAGTGTGTACACTTACCCTTTCACGTTAGGTCCCCACGACCCTGTTATCATAGATTTTTGTCGTAAATAGCTAATAACCCTAGGCCAGATTCACCATTCCTTTTGGCGGATCGTTATTTTGATAAGATACTTCGTGAACAAAATTGAGGGGATGCCTTTCACCCTTGATCATCTCATCCGATTGTACCGTCCTTACCTTTTTCGAGGAGGATTAATAAAACTTCAGCGTCGAGCTACCAAGGCTCTGTTCTCGAGCATACACGAGGACAAAGATAGAGGCTGGATGGGCAGGTTCGTCCGAGTAAGGACTTCGGACCTGATTCCGATCGAAAATATGCCTTTTCCCGAGGAGTGGAACATGAAGCGTAAGTGTAATTCTGCTGTTATCTCCTACTATTTTGTTCTTTCATTTCTTTTCTCACTGATATCCCTCTTTTTGTGATGCAGCGGTTCCATGGATGCCCGGCGCAACTCCCGATCTTAAGAACTGGGTACGGGATCTAGTTTCGACCTCCGTATACGCCGAGCGCTCATGGCGTGACTTGTCAAAGGGCCGATGGGAGGCCAAAAATCTTGGTAAGCCCTTTTCTCGTATTTTTTGGTAGTTCGAACAAAATGCTTTCCATACACTTTAATAAAATTTCCCGTATGTAGGTATGTGCAAAGATGCGGTTTTGAGGCCCTCGTTCGTCGAGGAAGAGGCTTCGGCCTCTGTCCCAAAGTCGGTGAAAGATAATAAGAGGAAAAGAGCCTCCATTCCCGAAGATCCAAAACCAAAGAAGAGGATAGCTCGTAAGCCGAACAAGAATACCATTCCTTTGACCGTAGAGTCAGTTCTGCGTCTAAGGGATGAAGACGAAGAAGAAGAAGAAAATGATGGGTCCGCGCTGGCGGCCTGAACAAAGAAGACCACCAACGTTTCACATGCAGCTGGATCGATGGTGGTTCTTAAGGTTCCGCCTCGAACTGAGGATATATCGGAGAAAAATTCGGGCAGAGTCCCCGAGTTGTTGGAGATCGAAGATGCTTCCCATCGAAGCCAACAAATGGGTATGTATGAAGCGACTCTGCCCGAATCTCTTCGAACCGAAGAGAATGCTCCAAGTGATTCATTTGGGGCAATAGCAATCGAAGATTCGCCCATCTTCCCTGCTTTTTCCGCAGGGGCGATTCGGGAAGCCCAAGCTTTGTGGGCCCTCGAACTAGACATGCCTCATGATGGAGAGGATCCCTTTCGTGACATGTTTACCGGTGTCGAGGACGCTGCCGGTACTAGTGATGCATCAGATCTTTTTCACGGAGTGCAGCAAGTTTTGAATGAGGTAAGCCTTAAATTATTTTGTCGGCATTACCTTTATATTTGCTTTTCTTTTCTAACTTCGTTCCTCCTTTCTTTGCAGGCCACGACAGTTCATCGAGAAGCATGTTTTCGGTCCCGAACCGAGCTGCGTCGATACGAGGCCGACCTTCAACGGGTTACGGATGAGAGGAACTCCCTTAAACTCCTCTTAGGTCAAATGAGAGAGGAAATAAAAGACCTCCGAGCTGAGTTGGCCAAGGCTCACCAAGATCAGAACGATCTCTCCGAGCAGGTAATGATACTTTTAAAAGCCTATGGGCTCGATACTGGAACGATGGCTAATTTTTCAGTCTCACAGTTGCAACAGAAAATTGAGTTGATCGGGAAACTCCGTGAGGAGGTCGATGTGATAAAAGTGGAGTCTTTGAAGTGGAAAGAAGGTATGGACCGCTTTGCTGCAGAGAAAGAAGATGCTCGAGCCCAATTATCATCGGCCGAAAACCAACTTCAAAGTATGAAGGAGAAAGGCTCGGTTCAAGCAGGAATAATAGAGGAGCTCGAGGCTCGGTTAGCCTCTGAACTTGCCAAGGCCGAATCTGACGCCGAAAAGGCAAAGGCCGATATAGATGCACTCGTGGCCGTCTATCGAGCCGATGCTGAAGCTGCCCAGGTCCAAGCAAGAGAGGCAGCCGAGACCGCCGATACTCGAGCACATTGGGTCGCTGAACTTGCTTAGTGCCGATCTCGGAGGGAGACCCTCGAGAAGATCTATGCTCGAGGTGTTACACCCTGTACGTCCCAAAGTGATGTATAATGAATATGAGACTTGTTAATCATGATTTAAATGAGTTTAAAGTCATAATATGACTATATATGATGTTTGGAAAAAATACATAAAGTTTGGGGAAAATCGGATTAAAGTTGCGGAAAGAAACCGACTAAATATTTGGCCTATAATAGAGCTTTTTGAGAAATAAATTTCGTATACTATATGAGATATTTTTGGAACATATTATATACCAAATTTAAGGTCTTGGAATGTAGTTTCCAACGCTCTTAACCGTTTGTTCATATGATATCCGGATAAAAAGATATAAGCGTCGGAAGATGGACGAATCAGAGGGTGACAAGTTAGCACCTTTTGACTTTTC